AAGATAAGGTGACCATAGGTTCGTGGATTTATCTCTGGGCTTTCTATTCTGTTCCATTGATCTATATTTCTGTCTTTGTGCCAGTACCATACTGTCTTGATGACTGTGGCTTTGTAGTATAGTCTGAAGTCAGGCAGGTTGATTCCTCCAGTTCCATTCTTCTTTCTCAAGATTACTTTGGCTATTTGAGCTTTTTGGATTTCCATACAAATTGTGAAATTATTTGTTCTAGTTCTGTGAAAAATACCGTTGGTAGCTTAATAGGGATTGCATTAAATCTATAGATTGCTTTGGGTAGTATAGCCATTTTGACAATAATGATTCTTCCAATTCTTTTTAAAGAGCTTTTGGATAACATTTGATCCTGTTTACAAATCTGGTGATGAACAACATTTAAACCTTTAAAACCATGTTCAGCAATTTAGCATATTCAGTTTCATTTTCTAGTTCTTTTGTAGTCTGATTAAAGAGTAAATCCTTTGCAAGAACTTAAATGGTTCTTATAAATAACGAGTTACTAGTCTTGTAAAGAAGTCTTAAGTTCTCTTATACATTCTGATACTGCTTACAAACCTGATAAGATTTTAAAGTTACAGGTCTAAATCACTGATGTACTTTAAATTAGAACCCAAATCTAATTCATTAGGTACTCTGCCAAGTTCTCTTGAAACACTGAAGAAAATCTACAAATGTCCTATCACCAAACTATTAACACTAAGATCTGACTCCATCCTCTCTAATTCTGGTAATCCCCAGGGATAAGTTTCTATGTAAAATTCTAAATAGTCTAAGGAGGGATTCTAAATAGTCTAAACAGTGATCCCTAGGGATATTTATATATATACATATATATATATATACTTTTTTTTCTTATTCAGGATATAATTGTCATTCATTCCCAACACTTTTGGAGGTACCTCCTCAGGCTGACTTTTGGGGGATGACTTAAAAAGAGTTTAATAAGTTTAAAAAAAAAACAGAATAATATATCTTTGAAAGTGAACACAGAGAACGGGTGCTGTTGTGCCTCAGCCTCTGCCTTCCATCACCTGCTCCCCAGCACGACTGCTGGGTCACACACGAGCTCATTTCTGGGCTCCATGAATTCATGGACCCTGCAGAGCCGCAGCCCCAGCGTGGGCCCAGGCCTCGGCGGGGTGGCCTCCCCAGCCTCTGCCGCTGGTCCTGGACAGGCGCGAGCGAGGATGACTGACGTCTGCTTTTCTCTTTCTGGGCAGGTTGGCCTCATCCAACTTGGGCAGGAGCAGGTGCTCATCCAGCCCCTCAACAGCTCCCAGGGACAAGAGCATCTGATCAGCCGCAAGTGGTCCTTGACGCCCAGCCCCTCTCCCAAGGCCCAGATGCCCGGGCAGCTCTGCCAGGTCCTCACAGGTGAGTCTGGGAAACAGCATGAATGACTCACAGCACGTGCCGATTTGATACTATCAAGCATCCCTAGACCATCCCCATTGATGTGTCTCCAAATGTACTGAAATCCTGTGAGCAAGAACTTAGCTTTCCTGTGTTTTGAAAGCTATTTTTTTATTGCCCATAAGGCCACTTTCTTTTCCTTTCTATGTGTATTTATATCAGTGTTTCATGTGTAGTCGCCCTTTGAAAAACACATTTGTAGAAAGAACCAAGGATCTCTTTGTTATATCTCAATTTTGTAGACCAGGAGCAAGTTGAGGCTTGAAAAACCTCAGTGGCTTATCGTTGGCAAGCCCAAGGTTGGTGGCAGAGCTCCAGTAACTCCTTCCCTGCACTCCTTGGCCAGAGCGTGCTCTTCTGTACAGCAGTCCTCAGTCTTGGCTGCACTGATCAGAGTCAGCTGGGGAACTTAGGAAACAGTGGTTCTCAAAGTGTGACCCCTGGGCCAGTAGCACCAGCATCACCAGGGAGTCTGTTGGAACTGCGTGTTCTCATATACCCCTCCCCAGTCCAGCCTGAATCAGAGACCATGGCGGTGGGGCCAGGTAAATCTGATCAAGTTAGGGGTGAGAGCCATTGTTTTAAAAAGTGGTGTGCACCAGCCAGTCCCCCCAAGTCCTGATCTAATTGGTCTGAGCGTGACTTGGATGTGTTTTTAAAGGTGGTTCTGATGAGCAGTCTGGGCTGAGAACCCAGGGTTCTTGTACTCTGTGGCTCTGTTTGGACAGCCTGTGGATTACCATTGGTGTTTAAGGACCTCTCATGGTGCTGGATCACTAGCCGTCTGCCTGTCGGTGTCTCTTGATGAAGATGATAGTTTACTGCTCACGGGTGGTACTTCCTCCCTTTTGGGTCAGCCTTAGTGGATCATTTTTTCTCTATCTCCTCTCAAAGTGAATGGCTAGTGATCATTCTAAATCTGTGCAATTTCTGCATCTGCTCTGAAAATATTGTTTTGGAGATAGAGGTTCTCAACTCTGGCTGTCCATTGGTATCACCTGGGGCACCTTAACANCTGCTCTGAAAATATTGTTTTGGAGATAGAGGTTCTCAACTCTGGCTGTCCATTGGTATCACCTGGGGCACCTTAACAACTAGTCACACCCAGGTTCTGTCCCCAGAGAGCCACTTTCATTGGTCTGGGGTGCAGCCGGGGCATCTGGCAATTTGAAACCTCCCCAGGTGGTTCTAACGTTCAGCTGGCGCTGAGAACTGCTGCACTCAGACGTTCTAAACATGAGTAATAGCACCTGTGGACCATTGGAAGCAGGGTTTTCTCAGGTGAGTACTACCAAGCAGGGCCAAGAGCAAATATGTTTTATTCTTACTTTCCCTCTACTCGAGCCAGTGCTGCTCAGCTGCTAGTCACTGACCAGAGACCTGGGGTGCCTGTGGGTGGTATCATGGAATATTTGTCTGACTACCAGCTGCCATCCTCTTTGGGGCCGTGATACCAAGGATTGCTGTCAATATGATAAATTGTGCTGGTATTTGCATTTTTGTCCCTAAGGTTCGTACGGAGGCACTCTTGAGAGACTGTTCTGCCTTTAGTGAAGGAAATAAAATGTGCAAAGCCAGGGTAAGGGAGGATGTGATGGAAATTAAGTTGAAAAAAGAGTGGTCATGCAAGGCTGCAGAGAGAAATTTCTGAATTTGCCTAAAAAATAATCCTCTTCCCAGCCCCCAGATCTCTCATCAACATGCTCTGCAGAGAGAAATTTCTGAATTTGCCTAAAAAATAACCCTCTTCCCAGCCCCCAGATCTCTCATCAACATGCTCTGCCATGCAGGAGCACGTGTTTGTTTAAGGTGATGCCAGCTCAGGCTCTGTCTTGGGTAGGAGCACAGACTTAGGAGAAAAGTATAGATTTTGCTTCTGGTCCTTCTTGCTCTGTGTGAAATACTCAGTAAACTTTGTTGCTGTGTGAAGAAAGACAACAGGCCTTCTCAGAGGCTTAGCTAATAAGCAGTTCATTAGGCCCTATCTAGTTTGGATTATCTTTTAAATGTTGTGGGTTTAGAAACTGGAAAAATTAATTTACTGGGACACCAGCAGAATACATTCTTGACGTTTCCTGGAAAGAGTAATCAGATTAATTCATGGTTTCCCATGGGAGCGTGTTCTTTATGGCCGAGCACGGCAGTCATCAGTGTCGTATGCCTTCTCACTGATCTTGTGTCGCCCCAACCCTGGACATGGCCTGCAGGTGGGCAGCTGGCCCAGGCAGGTGAGGAGCAGTCTGATGACGCCTTCTCCTCCGTGAGGCACTCAGTTGATCTGCTGATTGAGTCTCGGTAAGCCACCGTGTTGTCTAGGGGCAGAGAGGCTGACACAGGAGAGGCGACCTGGGAGGAATCACTCCCTTCTATTTTGTACACAGAGGCTGCATTTCCAGCTCAGAGGCTAGAGGCTAAAAGAGTCGGGGCTTCCAGAGAGGGGACAGGCAGATCCTATTTCCTTTATAGCTTCTTTTAGGACCTTATAAATTAATTCATAAAATATCACTCCAGCTTGGAACTTGGCATGAAAATATGGAGCCTGTGAGCCTTTTTTCCTTTTCCTTTCTTTCTTTTTTTTTTTTTTTTTTTTTTAGCANTTTTTGAGTGGTTATTTTGACTTCAAAACTTTTTGTCTGCGTGCTATGCTTATTTTAATCCCTTCATTCAGATTCAGTTTAGAATCTTCCCACTAGCACTTTCATGGTTTTTAAGTAACAATTTGAATCTCTTCTCATTCACTATGGTAGATGTAAACATGTGGATGGTTGAAGTAGATTGTAAAATAATAAAACTAGTTTTCTATGAGGCACTGTCAAAACAGGAATACTGCAGTGTTTTGCATGGTGGTGGGCTCTTTAGAACACAGACACATCAATGCCATTCTGTGAAGTCATTGCTGTCTACTTTTATCATTTGTTTTGTTATAATTGTTTTAAAAATAATGCAGTTATTTTATAGTATTGTTTCATTCATTTATATCATTCTAAAGTTAATTTTAGTGAGTGTTCAGAGGATATCATAATGACTCAGAAATTGTGTATGTCAATTTATGCAGGAATTTGCATGTGTAATAATACCTGTATATACTCTGTAAAAAAAAATTGGTTGGAAGTTGTGCTTTGTGTCTCTTTAGAGACACATTTGGTTAGAAATGACAGAAATCAAACTGGCTTAAACACTAAATGACATCACTGCCATGGGCCCCTGGAGCTGAGGAGCAGAGTAGGAGGTTGGACCTCAGGTTAGTCTTGACCACGGCGGTTCTGTATCTGACAGCTTTGTCCCAGCTGGCTTCTCTTCTGGTGAAAAAGCGGTCCCTGGGATGAGGAGCTGAATCCTTCTGTTTAATGAGGAGTTCCGGTGGGTTGACTTGGATTGTGACTTGAATCCCTTTTGGTTCGCCCCTGGTTTCAAATGTCTTGCGGCAGGAGTGTAAAAGCTTCACACAGTCCACCTGACTGTGGAGATGTCACTCTGCTTTCCATCCTCTCCTGACTTCCTGTAAGTCAGGTGCAAGTCTGGTGGAGTAGATTCAGGCACCTCTAATCCAGCTTGAGTCCCTCCTGCTAGCCCATGTGGTGGGTGAGACTTTGGCTGGCTCCTTCTGACTTCACCGAGCCCTTGTCAGATGCCTGTCAACGCCTCACCCCACCTATGTCCCAGGGGTACACTTGGCTGCTGGCCTTTGCTCAGTGGGAAGGGCTCAGTCCCTCTGACATCTGTCACCTCTAAAGTCGTTGGAGACCTCAGGTCTCCAGTGTGTAAAGCAAAATATGGTTTTGTCGTTTATCCAGTGGTTTTGTTGTTTCAATGGTGGTGATGATCTTCCATGTTTTTCTGCATCTTAAGTGGAAGAAGAAGCCAAGAGAAGTGGAATTAAATTTGTACTTCGTATTTTTCATGTTAGTATTTTAAGTATGTACTCATATATAAAATATTAGTTCTGAAAAGAGACCCTGATACTTTAGAATCATTATTCCTGAGAAGGAGACAGAAGAGGGAGGCTGGAGGCCCACCTCTCGCCCCCTCGCCTGTGACCCCAGAAGCGTCCCTCGGCATCTCCGTACCCTGTGTTGGTGTGCTGGGGCTGCTGGAACACACGGCTACGGCCCAGCAGCGTGACCAGCAGACACTGTTTCCTCACAGTTCTGGATTTAGAACTCCAAGGCCACGGGGTCAGAGGGTAGGTGTCCTCTGTGGCCCCTCTCATTAGCTTGTAGGTGGCTGTCTTCTCCCTCTGTCCTCTTGTGGTCTCTTGGTCTGCGCGTGTCTGTATCCTGATCTCTAATGTCAGTAATATTGGAGCCCAACCTCATGACCCCATTTCCACTTGATCACCTCTTTAAACACCCTGTCTTCAAACATGGTCACAGTCAAAGGTGCTGAGGGTTCGACTACCCAGTTCAGCCTACAACAGCCTCTGTTTTCTCATCTGTGACACTGATATGATGCCAGTCTTGTCTGCTTCTCCGGGTTATTGCTGAAGAACACAGAGGTGAGATAGTGATGGTACCACTTTCAGCCACATTGGTTGGGGGAATGTTCATAAGAACAATTACACATGCCTAAGAGACAGAAAAACAAACTTGGAGGAAATTGGGAATGAGCTGAATAGAGGGACCATTCCTATAAGAATAGATATCATAGTTGGCTTGTTCATCATCTATTCATGGTTTTTTCTTGATAAATAAATAGGAAAGGAGCTGTGTAGCCTCAGGCAAGTTTAGAGAGGATTGGGCCACTGGTTTCATCATTTGCAGCACACTAATATCTACCTCTTGGGGGTTTTGTGTGCTTTAAATGAGATAATGCATACTTGTCACTTAGCAACCAGCAAATATTAGCTGCAGCTGCTGTGGTTATAATTATGATTCCCACCCCCATTCTTTACTATCAGGGGACGACTTAAGTGCCCTTGTTTTGTACTAAGTGGGAAAGAAAGAGAAACTCTGTAGAGCACT